AGCCTCGCGAGGATCGGGGGAAATTGCCATCCCTAGACCTAATGGCACATACTGAACAAATCCTATTATTAATGCTTTTTACATGTGTTCGTTTAACAGGAAAACGCCCACCTATGAATTATAGATGACACGTTGGATACAACATGTCAAGGGCTTGCCACGGAGCACTGTTAAATGATAGCATTGGTGTCGCCATTAGCGTAAGGGCTGATTTGCTTTGATAAATTGGGTTCAAGGGCTTATGTGCTCATTTTTCAATTTAGGGGTTAGTAGCTTATAGTTGGTAAAGTTCAGGGTCTTAAAAAGAGGTTTTGCACACTAAGAAAAGTCTTTTAACTTGAGAATTAATTTTTAAATGAATATGCTTATGAATTCATTTAAAAATGAAATGAATTTTAATTCATTTACATACCAAACACACCCATAATATATGTAATTAGTTTGTAAGAAGAAAGGAAAACAGTTACATGTTTAGTTAGGGTCAAACTACCCTTTTTATTGACTAGGTTTACTAATTATTTTTTAATAAATTTACTAATTATTATTTTATTTAATTTTATAACTGAGACACAAAAATGACATAATATGAAGATGAAGGAGAGTGCTCAAGGAATAACAATTTTAAGAGGATTCAATATGCAAAACAAAATTGAAACATTCATCACTTTGTGTATAGGCAGATCCTATTATTAATGCTTTGTACATGTGTTCGTTTAGCGGGAAAATGCCCACCCGTGAATTATAGATGACACGTTGGATACAACATGTGAAGGGCTTGCCACGGAGCACTGTAAAATGATAGCATTGGTGTCGCCCTTAGCGTAAGGGCTGATTTGCTTCAATAAATTGGGTTCAAGGGCTTATGTGCTCATTTTTTAGTTTAGGGGCTAGTAGCTTATAGTTGGTAAAGTCCAGGGGCTTAAGAACAGGTTTTGCCCACTAAGAAAAATCTTTTAACTTGAGATTAATTTTAAATGAATATGCTTATGAATTCATTTTAAAATGAAATGAATTTTAATTCATTTACATACCATACACACCCGTGATATATATAGTTAGCTTGTAAGAAAAAAGGAAAAAAGTTACATGTTTAGTTAGGGTCAAACTACCCTTTTTATTGGCTCATATGAACCAAAAAATACAAAATTAAATCTCTAAATACATAAAATGTGTCACTTATTTGTGTTTGATTGACTGACACTTATATCTAAATCCAAGCAAAATAGTGTACTAATAACCTCCCAATCTTACTATTTTTAAAAAAAGTAGTGTTAGATGTGAGAAGGACACTATTTCAAGAGAGTTTTTAGATAATTGAGATTGTTTGAAAATGAATTACGCTTAGTTTGACCTTTCAACCCTAAAAGAACTATAACTTTCAATATGAAAGAAGTTATAGTTACCAAAAGCATACAATGGAAAGCTTATCTAGAGCTCTAATCTGTGCCTAAACATAGCTTGCATAGTAGTTCAAAATATTTATAATTTCGATGCCAGTAATTGTACACAATTTTATGCATAAGCACGTTTATTGCTTGAAATCCCTATTTACATTTTTAAATATTTTTAAACTCAAGAGATAAAAAAGCTGTTTATAAGTAACTTTCAAAAAATCTCCATCAAACAGCTCCTATGTTTAAAGGCTTAAAGCCATATCAAAGTTAAGATCTTTGGCATAGTTAATCAAGCAAAGTATGGATGAAAAACTAACGTCTGATACTTTTAAACTTCTCTGGATAAAGAGGGAAAGGCTTTTTCTTTGCGAAACATAACCTAGATTGGGTTAATATTCTAAAAAAGGGAAAGGAACCTTGGTCAATTGCCCACTCATTTTTTTGACATAAATGGCATTTAGCTTTTGCATTTGCTTAATTTTCAAAAGAAAAGAATTGCATTTATATATTTTTTTTGGATGAGAGAGAGAGAGAGAGAGAGAGAGAGAGAGAGAGAGAGAGAGAACTCCAATTTTGCCGCTCATGTTAACAAATTGGAATAATGGATTGGCCCTTAATGTCTATTGTTTGTCCTTCGCGCAACCCCTTTCCATATCAACTCCCAACTCATCACCTCTTATCACCTTGGTAATGTCATGTGGCAAGAAAATATATGAAAAATCTCTCTTATTGGAACCCACTCATTGTGTAGTAAGACTGCAGACAAAAGGTGCTACTTTGGAACTAAGGTGGGAATTGAATGGAGAACAAATGATAGGTATAAAGTAAGAGTCTATTAACCTAAGTTGTTAAGTTTAGGAGGTAGTTTCTTTAAGAAAAAAAGCTATAGGGCAAAAACACTCAAAAGAAGTGAGTTCAAGGGTGAAGTTGGATTTTTTCCTCATTTTTTAGAGATCATAATTTTCTTTCAATTAGACAGCCTCCTTTATCATTACAATAAATAATTTTGGAGATTTTTTCTTTTTTGACTTTGGACTACATATATTAAAACTATTTAAATATTTTTGATGACCCTTGTTCCTCAAAAAAAAATTTTTTTTGATACCTTTATAACACTAATTGCATTTTTTTATACCTTTGGATTGAAAAAAAATAATTTTTTATATAATTTAAAAGAATATTTTGACATTCTGATATATAAATCAAATTGCAAAACACTGACAATCAACATTGACCGCCTTCACCAGTCATAAATAGTTACGAAGCATCACTTTTTTGATAATTTATTCGGGTTAAAGCCATCTGTCATCCCTCTACTTTTATTTTTTGTCCATGTCCATGCTTCTACTAATAAATTGTTCATTGTCATCCCTCTACCTGCCATTGTTGTCCCTCTACTTCTCATTTTCTATTGAATGTCATCCTTATTTGGACACTGTTGTAAAAGCTCCTTTCTTTTTAAAAAAAAAAAATTCTAAAAAGCTCCTTTCATATTCTTTTCCCCCATTTCAACATAAATATTGAAATGAACAAAAAATAAAGCAATGGGGGTGCATTGTCCAATAAACATCCCATATATGTATAGACAAACCTCTATATACTTTGTGTGTTGGGAAAATATAACCGACATAATAACAGAGATCTCATGTAAATTACTAGGATGCAAACAGAATGACAAGAACCTAGATATTGTTATTAAACAAACAAAAAATAAAGGAATTGGTGTGGATTGTCCTAACAAACACCCCATAATGTATAGACAAAACTCTACTTTAATTTGTAAACTACAATTTAGTTCTATTAGTACAAATTGCATCAAAGGATCGCTAAACAATTTCTACCAATTAAGTAAGTATTCATGCATAGCACTTTATTTATATATATTTATATATATATATTTTTAAATACCCTTGAAAATCAAGAGCTTCGGTGTGAAATTACTAAACCCAACTAGAAATTGCAAAAATGGACCCCAAAGGCACAAACTCAAATTAAGAGAAGTGTAATTAAAATTGGAGAAATATTAGATGAAAACAACTATAGATAACCAAAATGGTAGCAAAATTCCAACACAATACATCCATTTCAAATTTAAACAAGAAACCTCATGGCCTTAATTTCCTTCTTTTGGCTAATATGCTTGGGGTTGAATTCCCCAAATATGCATTGTTATTTCCTCATTTCACCTAAAAAAAAAAAAATGAAAGCTTTAAAACAAAAATCAAAGCATCAAATGTTAATGTAACCCTTTTTAATGAAATAATGAGCAACCCTAAGATGATAAGGAAACAAAAAACCAGCAATAGAAAAGCTAAACCCAGGACTTGTCACCACTCTCTTCTCCTTCTCAACCTCTATATCCTTCGTTCTTTGCTCCTAGATAATATCCAGTGCTATCTCATCTTACATCACAACCCCATTTCTCTCCTTGTATTGCTTCGATCACTCCCACCACCATTCTCGCTTTTCTTCCTTGGGTTTTTACAAATAGAAAGGATGAGCCTAAGGAAAAATGACGAGTGGAAGAGGATGAAAAAAAATGAAAAAGAAAAGCTTTTGCAGCATGTGGTCTCCATTGGTCAAACTAGTGAAAAAAAAGACTTAAATATTGAGCTAATAGTTGACCGTTTGCATCTTAACGGTCAAACAAATGGCTCTAACAACGACGTCCAAATAAGGACGATATTCAATAGAAAATGAGAAGTAGAGGGATGACAATGGCCACTATTTGCGAAGTAGAGGAATGACAATGAACAATGTGCTAGTAGAAGGACAGACATGAACAAAAAATGGAAGTAGAGGGATGGCAGATGGCTTTAACCCTAATTCATTCCGTCGCCCTTTTTTAAAAAAATATTATTTTTTGAAAAACGATCATGAAAAAGTAGCAAATGGGTAATCACCGCCTTTGATCAAGAAAGAAAAAAGAAAAAAGAAAAAAATCAGACTAACTGATCAAAATTTCACAGGCCCAGACATTCTCACCCTCTGCAAATTCTGAAGAAATCAAATCCAATACAAATGGAGTTCCCCTTTGGCCACCAGCACAGACACCACCACCACCACCATCACCAAAGAGATGATGAAGAAGAAAATCGAGAAAGACCCTCATACCCGCCACCTGCTTGTCAAGAACCCCCATTTGGAGCACCACCATCCGATCCACCACCATCGTACTTCCAAGAACCACGATTTGGAGCTCCACCGCCTCCTCCACCATCTTATTACCAAGAAACAGAATTTGTTCCTCCACCACTACCACCACCAACACACGTGTACCATAGTAGTGATCGCCCGGAAGAATTTGCATCAGTCAACTACCACCCACCGGCACCGACGCCCGTTACCCATGTGGCTCACGAAGTGAATGAAGGGAGAGTTGAGTCGATGGAGAGCCACCATTCTTATAGGCCCCATTTGCCGTCTTTCCTTCACCATCAGTCCCATTCTGGCTCTGGGTCTGGGTCTGATCTCTCCAAGAAACCCACTATGAAAGTCTACTGCAAGGCTGAGCCTAATTTTTCTCTCACTCTCAGAGATGGCAAGGTGATCCTTGCCCGATCAAATCCAGATGATGCATTCCAGGTATTATCTATGACAGATACCTACTTTTTTACCTTGTTAGTTTAATTCCACACTTGCTTGAAGTTCATAAGTTTGATCTACCTTGTCTTAACTGTTTGATGCTTTTATTGAATTGTTCTTTGATAAACTGTGATTGTTGATTTTTTGTTTTAGATGAATGGAAATGAATGTGTTTCTTTTCTGTGACTTGTTATTCTTAACATCAATTTATTCACTAATTGGTTCGGCTTGTTTGCCTCCTTCTATATTCTTTTGGTTTTTTTTTTTTTATTAATTTTTTATTTTTATTTTGCTGCATGTGCTTGTACTTGAATTGGTTGTTTTGTCAATTATAGCACTGGTACAAAGACGAGAAGTACAGCACAAGAGTCAAAGATGAAGAGGGTTTCCCTTGCTTTGCTTTGGTTAATAAAGCTACTGGTCAAGCCCTGAAGCACTCGGTTGGAGATACTCACCCTGTAAGATTTCTCTAAACTTTATGGTTAGAAATTTGGCATTCATTTGATTAGGCAAATTACATCATCTATTGTTTGTCAATCAATGCAGTCAATTGTATCAAGCTTCTGGAAATGCTATAGGTTATAATACAACTGTCGGAGTATAAGTTTACAATGATGATGTGGCATTAAATGAACAGATGCATAAATATCACATGTGACCCCTTGAATAAAAATAGTTAATCATTTAATGACACACCATAATTCCAAGCTTACAATGCCACATGGTATTGTAACTATATCATTTTCATATAGTTTCAGCCAAACAAAATCTATGCTATTTAGCTGCCAGTTTGCCACAAAATATACAGAATCTATGCTTTGAAAAGAAGAACTAATAGATTGTTATTCCTTTTAAGGAGCTTTCTGACTTCTAAAATGGTTTTTTAACTGGTTAATTGAAAACATTCCTTTGTGCATGAAACATTTGAAGTTAGGCTTGATGTCATGCTGACAATATTGCTATCTCTTTCCCACATTCCCACTCAAATTTTACTTGGGAGTCATGAAAACGTCTTGGTGCTAACTAACATGGCTGCTTTTGGTTATTGATTATTGTTTATCAAATAGAGTATGTCTTTACCATGTACTTCTTTTTTGAAGTAAAATTATAGATGTTGTGAATTTAATCTGTCCTGAAAAATGTCTCTGTTTTCAGGTGCAGCTAATACCTTACAACGCAGATGTTCTTGATGAGTCTATACTATGGACTGAGAGCAAGGATGTGGGTGCTGGTTACAGAGCTGTCAGAATGGTTAATAACATTCGTCTGAATGTGGATGCTTTTCATGGTGATGAGAAATCTGGTGGTGTCCATGATGGTACCACTATTGTGCTCTGGCAATGGAACAAGGGAGATAACCAACTGTGGAAGATTGTTCCCTACTGTAAGTTTCTTGAAAAACAAAGTCCATCACAATAGAATTCGTATGGAACTTCTTGCTATCTGTACTCCCATCTCTTGAATCTTTAGGAATTTAGCTAACCAATCGTTCTTAAAAAACTCTCTACAACCAATGCACCACATGCTTGAAGAGATTTGCATTTTTATTTTCTGTTTCAAACATTTGAGAAATCCTTGTTAAGTGTTTTGATGGTGATAAATGCAGGATATATATGAGACATGTTGCAGGATCGAGAAGCTGCATTATGCTTTGCCTAAATATATAATCTGGAGAGATCACCCTGTGTTATCTTATAGTGTTTGTGATATATTTTGTTTCTTTAGTGTGAAAATATTTGTGTCAAGGCCAGCTATTAGTCTCCTATGGCTGTCATTATATCGGTCAACTTGCTATGTATCAATGTTATTATTTCAGTGTGTGGAGAAAACAAACGCCTAATTCAGAGATCCTGTAATATCGGTTACTGTCATCGTTTGCTTGGTAATCTATTAGAAATATGACATTAGTATGTAGTTATGTACATAGTTTCCTTTTCATTCAGATTCCCCTTTTCACATCTGCATTTGATCTGAAACTCATGAAGAGTGGTGGGCCATAGCTTTTTATACTACATGCACATGGGATTGAAACCTTTGGCAGCTTTTAACAGTCATCATCTTGTACCATTAGCTTTAGGATTTCAAGATATTGTATTTATGATTTTGATGATTATAAAACACATTTGAATAACTAATTAGTTTATTAAGTGTGTAGTTAAATTGCTAAAAAATTGCAAAGTAAGTAGACTTGGATTGCACTAAAAATGGATCAAAAGGCTTGAAACATGTGCAGAGAGTCGGCTTAAAGAAATATGCAGTCGGCTTTAGAAGGCAAAAGTGCAGAGAGCTGGCTCTAAGAGCTACAACCGAGTCTACAGGTGAAAATTTCAAATCCATTGTTTGGTGCACACAAAAAACAGGCGCAAAGTTGGCTCTGACTTCGCAGTTGGTTGTGAGGGCGCATTAAATGCACAACGATTAACTTATTTGAAGATTTCTTTAATATTTTAAAGTTGGATTTTCAAAGCTGGCTTTACATTTTGTAATCAGCTCTTGAGGAAAACAGAATGTGCAGGAAACCTGCAAAGTCAGTTGTAGGATTCTAAGCTGGTTGTGTAGAGTCGGTTTTATATTTTAAGTCGACTGTGCTGACAATTTTGCAATTCGAAATTACACGACTTGTAGAGCATTAAATGACCCCAACGGCTAGTAACAGCTATTTTTGACTATGGGGTTATAAATATGGTCGACAAAAAATCTGAAACAAGTTTAGAGAGTATTGTATTGAATATCTTTACCTACCAACTTGTGTTTTAATTTGAGATTTTAATTTTTGAGAGATCTTTATTTGTAATGCTTTTCTTGTTCTATTCGTGAGTAATCTTGGGGGTTTGATTATTCTTTCAATAGTTATTTGTAGAGATGATTGCTTGGGTTTATCTTTGTAAATGGATGAGATTTGAAAGAATTGCTCATCTTCTTGTAAAATGATTGAGTAGCTCATTTAAGCCACCCTTGTTCTTGATAATGGAGAGTGTGGAGGAAATCCTTGGTGAGTGTGGAGGAAATCCTTGGTGAGTGAAGTTAAGGTAGAGGACTAGACTTCAAGTGGTTGGACCGAACTTTTATAAAATCATTGAACAAGCTCTTTTTCCTTACTTTCTTTAATTCTTTGTTTTGTAGTTGCAAAAAGGAGGAAATTTTTGAACTCCAATTCACTCTCCCTCTTAGGGTGCATTGAGCCAATACAAGAACAGTGGAATAACATTTTGTGGAAAATGTGGGGGAAGGAATGGTCTTCTCTGATATGAAAAGTCCCCATTCTCCCAAGTTATGTTTCCCAAGTTATGTTTAGGTCATAATATATCTTTGCATCTGCTTTTTGCAAGGGTTAAAAGCCAGCTACCATACCTATACTAACAATTTGTTCATAGCTGCCCTTTTATTGTACCTAGCAAACAATGTTCAAAGTCATCTTACACACGACATCGAACTGTTAATGCTCGTTGTTCATTTTGAACGTTATGTGACTATTGTCTTTCACTAGTCAACAATTAAAGCCTTTCTTCAAGTTTGTTTGAGATAGTTGTGTTTTGCTGCTAGTGTAGGTTTTTCTATCTTTAACCATCCTAATAATATATAAAATATTAATTAAATTGGAAAAGTGATTGAAAAACAATTTTAAAACTATATTGATTTAATAAATTCTTATTAAAAAAGACTTAAATAATCTATTTTTAAACTAGTAATGAGTTTGTTTTGATTTTTTCCTGTGGTGCTTTAATAATCAGTTGATTCTTGCATACTGTATACATAGTTATATTTTTAAATTTGTTGGCCTTTAATCTCATACTAAAAAATAATAATTTTTAATAAGTGTATTGTACAGTGTATTGAATAAGAGTATATATCAATTAGTATCCATTTTTGTGTGCCTTGATGTTGCTTGTTTGTTATTCTTTACAACATTGGTACAAAGTTGAAAAGCATGAGAAGAATGTTAGCTATTAGGTTGACAAGATAATCTTATGTAGTTGTAATTACACTCCTTTTATTTATGGCATTCTTTTTCGAACATTAACTGTTATTTTTTTGCATACGTTAAATATCAATAAAGTCATTGAAATGTTTGTTACATCAAATGGTAATAGTAGCCATTGTTATTAGTGAGAATTGTATGATGTGATAGTAAAATTCTTAAATTGTTAAATAGTCGTAAATATCATTGAGATAGGACATTAATGATATAAAGACTATCATGTATGATATTTTGCTAGGTGGTAAGATTTCCTCTCATGAAGTCACACATCACATATGGGTAATTCAATTCAAAGTAAGTGAGTATATTGGACTAACTTGCCATGAGAACTTTACATGAAGATGTCATTCGTAGCTTCTTAGCTATGATGGGAGTGTAAATAATCCTTTGACTTGATATTATCATTATTCTATGCAAAGACTTGTGTACTTTAATATTATTAAAAATAGTTACTCCAAGGGGTTGTGAGTAATATAGTTATTGAGTGCATCACAAATCGAATAAGAACAATGGGCGAGTCAAGATAGGATTTCATCCTTCTCAGGTTTATGAAAAAAGATATCTCTAGCCTTTTGAGTAAGATGAGACTACCTACGAAGTCAATTGCCATAGCATGAATGAAGATTCATTCAAGAAGTATATCTATCTTGGGAATGAAAAAAAGATACATCAAACTTTAAAGATGATGACACATAATATGCATCTTGCTTGATGGAGATATTGGTGACAAAGGAATTGAATTACACAAGTGCATCAGACATAAAAAGGTTTGTCGAAACCATTTGACTCTTTCTGTCACTTTAGCTTATCATGATGCATTGCTAGATACTGCTTTGGATCTATGAGTGTTTCTCACTTATATGATTATGGAAACCTAGAGAATCACACTTAGTATGTTATGAGGATCGAGATTTCTATAAATCTAAGTTTGTGAATATGGATTAATTTATATGAAAATAATATTTTGACAAGTGAAATTAACTAATCAAGTTCCAAAATAAATTGGTAGAAAGAATTAATTTAATTTAATTAATTTAAGTTTGGATTTATTCAAAGTTAAGGATAAGAAAATCCAAGAGTGGCAATTAAGCCCTTAAAAGATTTTATAGTTAAAACTCTAGCTCATTGGGCTTGGAGCCTTGGCCTAAGATCCTAGTCCATATTGGACTGGAGTATGTAGCAAGAAAGGGAAAAATAAGGGAAGGAAAGGCTTCTCCTTCCATGCTTTCTATTTTAGCTTGAAGACTAAATTTGACAATTCTAGTTGTATTGGAATCACAAGTCTTCTATTCCTATTAATAGAAATAGGTGTAGAAAACCCTAGATTCTAATGGAGGGTTTTTTGATTGTAGAATTTTAAGCCACTAAAAATTATTCTACCAAAACACAAAGGACAATAAATTAACTTTCTAATTGCTAATACCTTCAGAGATTTGGTCTTCTTCAAATCCAAAGTGTGTGTGGATCACTACTAGAGGAATTTTACACTTAGATTCTTGGGTGCCTTCATCAAAGAACAGAGGTCAAATCTATGCATCAATGAGGCACGCATTGTTGAGGTGCTGCTCATAAACCCTTAGCCATCTGTGGATTCAAAAGGATCTTAGGTGGGTTGAAAAAAACCAAGATTAAATTTTTAATTTTCTACCTCCATTACACCCTCTTAAAAGCCAACAAAGGATAATGATGGTTTCCCTTGCTTTGCACTTGTAAACAAAGCCATTGACCAAACCTTAAAGCTCCTTGCTATTAATAAGAAACTTGTAAGAACATGTCATTAGAATTTTCAAAGCTTCGTTCGTTTGAAATAAAATTTTGGGACTCTACCCCCCATTTTTTTTTTTTTTTGCAAATACATCTAGCTCCTTATAACCCAAATGCTGTTGACAAGTCCATATTATGAAGTTAGGGCACAAACCATGGCAATGGTTATAAAGCTACATTTAGGTCTGGATGCTTGTGGTGGTTATGTTCAATACATTACCCATGTTATAATTTATCCATTGGGGAATGGAAAAAACTAGATATGGAAGATTGAACCATATTGAAAGTTAATCATATAACTAAATTAAAAGAATACAACGTCTTTGAATAATGGCATGGATATATGAATTTCCTATTTTGCAATTTAGATTATATTAAATTCTAAAATAAGAGCCACTAGATGGTGGAGGGAGCCTCCAATATCAAGAGATCCACCCATCCAATTATTTAATTTGTGGAGTTTAAAACAATCCAGATTGCGTAACATTTTTTTGTTGATATATTTTACATTCTTGATACAAAATCAATTTACAAGAACTATTAAAGTTTATTGCCAGGCTGGACCTAATTTTTGCCTTATCGTCAAAGATGGAAAATTAATCCTTGCCCCTTCTAATCTTACTCATAAGTTTCAAGTACTTAACAAATCTATTTCATTTTCTTTATGTTCATTTTATGTGGCATGATTAAATGTTTGCTTTGGCTATTATTGTTGCATTGGTACAAAGAGGAAAAGCATCGTAAAGAAGGTTCTTGCATCTTTACTTTGATCCATAAAGTCATTGAAAAAGCTTTAAAGCATCCCATTGAAGATGAAATATTGGTAAGAATCCTATGACTTGTCCTAGTTCATAGGTCATGTTTGGTTCTTATAATGACTTTCTAGGTTAAACTATAAAAACAAGAATCTATTAAACTTTCTTAGGAAACTAAAACTAGCTAAGCATTAATGTTATAATTTTTTGCTAAAATAAGAATTGATGAAAAATATATATTTCTTCCATTTCTAAAGGAATAAGTACTCCTTGATTTTTTACTAATGTAGAAGGAAAGTTAGCTATTCCTAACTTCCTATGAAAGTTTTTCATCAATTTTAACTTCTTCTTCTTTTCTCCCTTTTTTTTTTTTTTTTTTTTTGTAGTTTACTCAAGGATTAACCATTATCACCAACCAAACAAGCCCTTATGATTCCTAAGTTCTTATATTTAGTTACAATTAGAGCTTTCATGCACATATCATGATCATAAAATTATATTTAAATATTTTTTTAAATAGGCAAAAATAAGTTTTTTCCTTTTATTAAAGGTTAAAAGTCCAATTTGGTCCCTCTATTTTGATAAAAAGCTGATTTTTAGTTCTTCTACTTAAAAAAGCTCCTTTTTGGTCTTTAAAATTTGAAATCTGTCCCCTTTTAGTCCCTCCATTAAGTTTTGACATTAGACGAAAATTTCAAAGTAAAGGGACAAAAAAAGAGCTTTTTCCAAAGTAGAGGCACCAAATTGGGGCTACTTTTAGCCTCTCCTTTTTGGTCCCTCTACTTTGAAATTTTAGTCATTTAGCATGCTATGTATGCAAAATTTTAACAAAGAAACTAAAAAGATGTCAGATTTCAAATTTTAGAGACCAAAAAGTGATTTTTTTAAGTGGATGAACTAAAAAAAACTTTTTACCAAAATAAAAGGACCAAAATAGAGATTTAACATTTATTAAATAAGTACGAGAAGTACTCTAACTCTTACATAAGAGATGGGTATACAAAAAAGCAAATGAAATATAATATTGTTTCTACCTTCCTTCCCCAACTATCCATTGGCCCTCTTACATTCTATTTTGGCTATCTTGAGATCATTATAAATTATATTTAAATATATCCACATGTTTTTATTTTAACTAATCAATTAAAGTGAGATTTTTTTAACTTACATAATCATATCAATATCATAGTTTAGTTTTTTAATAATCATTATAAACTTATTATTCTAGTCATTATCATTTCATGTATAATTCTTGCCCCCAAAAAAATAGCGCAAAGTAGGAGCTTCAGTCCCAACATTAATTAAGATTAAGGATGATATTTATACAAATTAATTAATTTCATATAACCCAACTTCTCATGATGAATCCATATAGTGGGGTAACGTCACAAACATGGGAGGTGGTTACAAACCCATACATATGGTTATTAATACACATATAGGTGTTGATGCTTGTGTTGGGCACATAAAAATGGTACTACTATTATTGTTTACGCATTAAGGAATGGGAATAACTAGATTTGGAGGATTGCACCTTATAGTAAGCTCTTTGATAATATAACTACTATTGATAGTCACTTTTTGAAATTTTAAAAATTGAACAAACTATTCTTAAACCTTCACAATAAAGTACTACAATAAAGAAATGCAACTTGAAGATAATTGTTTTTGTACTTTTTATCTCATTTTATAAATATTGTTAAAGTTTACCATAAGGCTAGGCCTTAATTTCCCTTTCATAGTGTAATATCCCAAAATTTTGTGATATTTTAGCATTGAGTAAGGACTTTTGTGAGAGGAAATATTGTTTTGGGGTCTAATAACTAAAAACTCCAAAGTTGAGGGACTTGAAAGAAAGAAAATGAGATAAGGATCAGTTGCTTTTTCTTTTTCTTTTTCTTTTTCTTTCTTTCTTTTCTTCCTCCTCAGACCCGCGACCTGCTCTTTTTTCCCGTCCCCTGCAGCTTCCCCTATAGCCAACGACACACTTTTCTTGAGAAAAACCGGTGAGAGGCTTGACTGATTTCCTTCTTTTCTTGTCCAAGAACCCATTTAGGATTTCAAAATTTCTCCCCTGCAGAAGAAAAATTCAGATCTGCTGTTGCTTCCTTCTCCCTCTGTCCGTTGGCCTCTGCTGTGTGAGGTTGAGTTCGGTTTTTAGTAAGAAATAGCCAAGAATTCGTCCTTTTAGCCTTGATTCAAGTTGGGTTACTCTAATTTCCTTTTTTTTCCTTCAATTTTGGTGTTAGTTCTCTCCAATTCCGGCCAGCTCTCCACACCGCTAGCTCCGGTTTCAGCTTGCTGGAATTTTCTGGTCTGATGGACAACTTCCTTTAAGTCCAATTTCACCAATTTAGCTGTTGTTTGAATTTCCCTGTATTGTCCGAAATTTGCTGAAAGATGGGGATGAATTCCGGTAGCAATTAGAACATTTTAAATGTGTTTTGTTGCTTAATTCATGTAAAATTTAGTTGATTTGGGCTGTTGTGATGTTGTGTAGGAGAAATCCCGTGACTTAGCCATTGTTGGCCAAAGTCGTGGGTCTCAATTGGAAAATTTGGTATATATGTGTGTGGGTATAATTAAACCAATAAATGGAAGTAAAAGCCGGTTCCTCCATCTTGTTTTAGCTAAATATATATATATATATATATTTGTGTATAATTAAACCCATAAATGGAAATAAAAGCCGGTTCCTCCATCTTGTTTTAGCTAAAAATATATATATATATATGTGTGTGTATTTATGTATA